AGAGGAGGTCCAGAAATATTCCTGACAGTCAGGGGCTCTAGAATTGTTACAGATGAGGCTGACCTTGGAATCTCCGGGTTCCCAACCATCATAGCTGAGTGACTGAGTTCCAGGAATGCAACCACCACGAGGCCCAGAGGCCACCATACTTTTGGGTGCATGTGTGTCACCAAGGTCTCTTGCTCAGAGGGCCCAGAGACATTATCCACTGAGGCAACTTGGAAGAATGTCCAGATGGCCAGGCAGGAGAGTGAAGCCTAACCCTGGGCTGGACTGCAAATCCATGTCATAGCTGTCATCTAGAATGCGGGTGAGGGACTCTACACAGCAGGGCTCAGAGGATGGCCTGAGGCTACATTGTACCAGCAAAGGCCTGTATCTGCCTGGAGGCTGTGAGCTGGCTGCTGCATGGTGGAGCTCTCAGCAGTCTGTGTAATGCTCCAGGTTTGTCCCTGTAGTAGGGACAGGATTAACGAACAGGTAGAGATGTGAAGGTGACTGTCACCCCTACATTCTCCATATCTTCAAAGATGGCACGAGTCCTATCATCCTCCATATGCCAGGCCACTCTGCTTTACAATCTCAGCTGGGGGGTGTGGCTTTGTAGGCCTCTCCCTGACCTCACCATGCTCATGGACCAAGGAGTCACTGTGTGGGCGCCAATGGCAAAGTCAGCCACTGTGCCTGAGACTGAGTTAACATTCCCATAGGGAGCACAAGGTCGGCCAGGTCCACAGCATCTGTGCCAACCCTGACCCTACGTTTTTGTGTCTGATGTCCCCTTTCCCAGCACAGTTTCTACAGGTCCCCATGGAGAGGGACTGGGGTGTCACTGTGTACTCCTTCCTCCTGGCTGCTCCTTAGGCAATGGGATCCTGGACTGAGATCAACTTTTTATTGGAGTGACGTCCTTGACCTCTCAGCAACTTTCTTAGTCTACCCTGTAGCTGCCATCGGCTTTGCCCGGGGGGGGGGTGCCATGTTCTACCAGCCATCTCCACAAGTCTCCAAGGTCACAACCTGCCTCTAATTATGACATTTGCAACCTCCTGGCTTTGGGTAGATAAGCCTCACCTCTGTTAAGTTAGGGTCTTCCCATCCTTGCCATCTGTGACAGCCCTATTGACTTGTTAGAGAAGTGGTCTCCTGACCAGCACCATCTATGTGGACTGGAGACATTGTAAACTGGTCTTTCTAGATTTTGCATCCACAGTCCATCTGGTCTGGTATGCTTTAGACTTCTCAAAAAGCTACACAGGTAGCTGGGCACTGGTGGCCACATCTGTAATCCTAGCCAGTTGGGGAGCTGAGATCAGGAGGATTGGGGTTCCAGGCCAGTCTAGGGGAAAAAAATTCCTGAGACCCCATCTCAATGGGAAAAGATCTGAGCACACCTGTCATCACAGCTACAGTAGGAAGCATAAAATAGAATCATGATTCAGGCTGACCTGGGCAAAAAGCAAGACCTTATCTCTAAAACAACCAGAGCAAAGGTCTGGGGACTAGCTCAAGCAGTAGTGTACCTGCCTAACAAGTTTGAAGCCCTGAGTTCAAACCCCAGTACCACCAAAGGAAAAAAAAAAGCAATACAAGAGCTGTAAGTGTGCAAATGGCTTCACATTTCTGAAGGAAAATGTTCTCCAACTGAGAATTCTGTCCCCAGCCAAACGACCATCGCAATGCTCACATGGAGGGTGGAACAAAGACATCTCCAGGCCAGCATCTTTTCTCTTGAAGATGGGAGGGTACATTCTGCCAAAGCCAAGGAGGTTCTCCCTGAGAAGCATTGGAACCCCCAGAACAAGCGTGAGGCAGAAAGATGCTGGGGAACCAACCCTGTGCCTGATGAGGAGGGCAGTGGTCCAGTGGGAAGTGCTTCAGAAGATTCTGGAGCATTATAAACCCCCGTGAGCCCAATATCCTATAATTCTCCATGGTTATGGAACAAGTGACTTCAGGGAAGGGACAGCCACACAGGCCCGGGAGCCAGTTACAGAGCACTCTGTGTGTGTGTGTGTGTGTGTGTGTGTGTGTGTATGTGTGTATGTGTGCATTGGGTGTGTACGTGTGATGGGTGTGTGCATTGGGTGTGTATGTGTGGTGGGTGTGTGCATTGGGTGTGTATGTGTGGTGGGTGTGTGCATTGGGTGTGTATGTGTGATGGGTGTGTGCATTGGGTGTGTACGTGTGACGGGTGTGTGCATTGGGTGTGTACGTGTGACGGGTGTGTGCATTGGGTGTGTGTGTGTGATGGGTGTGTGCATTGGGTGTGTGTGTGTGATGGGTGTGTGCATTGGGGGTGTGTGTGTGATGGGTGTGTACGTGTGTGTGTGTGTGTGTGTGTGTGAGATGGGTGGATGTATATTGGGTATACAAAGTGTTCGAGTGTCAGGGGCAGAAGCCAGTCCATGAGAGTGCACTGGTCAGAGATGGCCTGGAACAGCTTGACTCTGTTGGCTCAGAAGGAGTTTTTTGGCCTAAGTCACTGGGAGAGTGAGTTCTAGGCTCACTGCTGCCACTGGAGCCCTCCTGTCCCTCTTCAAGAGGGCCAGTCATATCCCTGAAGCCACAGGTCAGACAGAACACAGAAGAGACTGCCACAGAGGCCAGGATACCAGGACGAGAAGAAAATACAAGGGCCAGAGTCTGGCTGGGGTCCCAGGTCTGGGATGGAGAGTTCATTTAAAGATTAGAGATCATTTTGTAGGCACATTTCCTGTTAATGAAGAAAAATGCTTTTTGGAAGTGAAGCCTCCTGGCCAATTGCCAAGAATCAGTGGCCACCTGAGGCCCATCCACACGCAGGAATAAACCTTTGGGTTCCAGATGTTTGGGGCCCAAGCCTCGGCCTTCGTTCTGGACAACCAGAGCCTGACAGCCTTTGATGGCTGAGATAGCCTAGGCAGGTCCACAGAGCTCTAGCATCTTGTCTGCTGACCACAAGGGTCCCCCTCTCACACTGTCTGCATCGGATGGGAACAACCTCTAGCAAGATCTTGCTGTGTGGGGGTCCAACTGAAGGGGCCTTGCCTGGGTCGGCATTGAGCAACTATCCAGGAACCTGGGGTCACTGCCCCTCACGTTGCCTCTAGCACAGCAGGGCACTCCTGAGTGCCCCCTCCCAGTCTTTGACCCTAAACCAAAATTTCCTAAACAGCTAGAGGAATTTGACAAAAGTCTTTTCCCAGAGTGTTTTCTGGATGGGAGGGACAACACCATCTTGGGGATAAGACAATGGGTGACAGAGACTCCCTACCTTCCCCTGCAGCCCCTCTCTGCAGAGTGACTCCCAGCAGAGATGGGTGGAGGGCGCCACCTGCTGGCGTACATCTCAGCTGAGGAGGACCCTACATTTTTATCAGCCCCATGGCCTGTCCCTAAGAGGGACTCCTAGCACCCCCAGGGCACCTGCATTTGGAGCTAAGACAGGGCGTAGGAGCAGCAGCCCTGCCCTTCACACTTATTAGCATCCCAAGTTGAAAAACTCAAGTCAAATGGTCCATGGGAAAATGCAGGTTCCTCAGCCAGGGATTCAACACCCAGAGTAAAGATGACAGAGCCTTAGGCCAGAATCCTCCCACCCCAAAGCCTGCTGTTGCTGGCCCCCCAAGAATGCCCATAACTGCACTCAGCTATAAGAGTGCCCTTGCTGGTTTTGAGTTTGGTATCACTGGACCTGGGAGAGCTGTGCTGCCTGTCTCTGCTATCTGCCAGGTCCCCTCTGCCTTATCTCCTGGACTTCCCCTCAGGAGAAACTCTGGGCTAGAATCCCCCACCTGCACCTGCTAGCTCCTGGCTGCCAGACTGCACTGCCACAGCCAGACTGCTGGAACTCCCTGGGAGGTTGAGGCAGTGAGCTGGGAGGGGAAGGCCAACAACAAGAGTTAGGGTCATCTCTGGACCAGGGCAGAGACCTTCACCACTATCCTGGGACCCAGCAGGGGTGTCCCAGGTGCATCTCCTCCCTAGCCATGGCTGGGGTGGTGCTAGAGGCCCCCCTTTGTTCTTCCCTACTCTCTGACCCTTGGGGCTCAGTGGGGTAGAGAGCCACAGGTGTGCCCCACCACACACACATGGAGCAGCTGTACAGGTGAGGCCCCTAAGCAGGAACACAGGTCCCCAGGGCTGTGCAGGGATGAGAAGGCAGAGCCTGTATTGACGCTGAAGGGGTTTCTCTAGCAACCTCTGGGCGGGGCAGGCCTCCTTCCAGGTCTCCACCTGGCCTCTCTCTGCAGCCTGCCTACCCTCCTGCCTACCCGGAGTGGCTAGCGTCCAGGCTCTTGCCATCTGTGCCGTGCTGGTCTTGCAGACAAGTAAGTACCTGGGGTGGGGTAGGGGTTATCTACCTGAACCCTTCCCAGTCTGCCCAGGACCCTGGGAGGGGGGGGCAGGGCAGAAGCCTACTGCAGAGATGGGGTGGGAGGACAAAGGCAGGGGGACCACACAGACTTGCTGCCCCTCCTTGGCCCCACAGTCCTCTGGGCTTAGGGCCCATTGTGGCCCTGTGTCCTAGATGGTCATTAAATGAATCTCAGTTTCCCAAATGGGCTGACGTCTTGCTCTGCATTTGGCTCCACCTGGCGAGTCCATCATTTTGATCATGGGATAGAAAGAGGAGGGGCTGCACTGGCCAGGAGTGTCCAGCTCAGCATGGATGCCACAACCAATGCTCACTGGGCACACAGCCCAGCTCCTTAGCTGCCCCGTCCTACTGAAAGAGTCTCCATGGGGTCTGGGAGTTAGAGGTTGAGGCACCAGTGGAAGGAGAGCCACAGCTGTGCTCCCCCCAAGGCTGTGAGCCTCAAACCACAGTTCCAAATGCTTGAGTTAGGTTTGTTCTTGTCCATGGCTCCTTTCACGGTGCCATTCCCTGGCTGCTGGGTCACAGGCCACAGGCTTCCCCAAGGAATCCTGGTTAGGGGAGGCTCTGCTGGGGATGTCTCTGTTCTGCATTGTGTGACTGTGGACACGGTGACAGGGCCCTAGGTCACCTGGGTAACATGCTGGGCGTGGGTTTGCATGCCCGGGCAGCAGCCAGCTTAAGAGCATTGCTGTCCACAGCAGCTGGGAAGGTTGGGCAACTTGCCTCAGCGGGGCTGCAGCTGATGCTGACCCTGGCTGCAGAGGAGGTTGACCAGGCCTGCGGTGGGTGCAGAGGGGCAGCAGCACCAGGTGGTGGCAGGCCTGGGTCCTCTGCTTGAACAGGTCCCATGCATTGGGTCTTGCTGGCCTCCTTGGTTGGCATGGACAGTCTCTCCCAGGCTTTATCTGGGCTGCTGCGTCATGCTTCTTGGTTGCTTAGCCTGGGGGGGTTGCAAGAGCTGAGACCACGGTTGAAAGGCTGCTCACAGCTGTGGCTGCATTTCCCAAATATCACCAACCCCAACTGCAGCACCTATGGCTTGAGGATAGTCATTTGTCTGCGTGATTTATTTATTGCTTGATTGATTTTTTTAGACAGTCTCGCTGGGTAGCCCAGGCTGGCCTGGAACTTGTGATCCTCCTGCCTCGGCCTCACCAGTGCTGGGATTGCGGGTGCACAACACCTCATCTGGCTTTTCTGTCTGATTTATCTGCCTTATCTCATTCCTTTTAGCATTTCCATCTGGCTTCCTCAACAGTACCCTCCTCACAACAGTCTTCTCAAATCACTGCCTATTGTGCCACCTATTCCCGCCCTTGCATCTGCCACCTCTGTATGCTCCTGTCCCTCAGAGCCCACAGCCAGCCTGAGGCATCAGTCGACGTCCCCAGGGAGGGGGGACAGGCTGCCCAGACTCAGATGCGCACTCAAAACCCCTGACCACCCAAGCTGACTGGCCCCGGCTCTGTAGACCCTGGTGGTGTGTTGTGTGTTGTGTACGTGTGTGTGTGTGTGTGAGTACGTGTACGTGTGTGTGTGTGGTTTCCACCTGTGCTTTCCACCCACAGTGCCCAGGGGCCCCGTCTGCGTGCTATTTCCTAGGTGGGATCTGCTTCAGCCCCTGAGGAGCTGAGTGGCTGCAGGTGCTTCTTTGGGGACCCTGAGGCCCTGCTCTCTTTCCTGGCCATCCATAGCCTGGTGGCCTCAGGACTGGAGGTGCTGATTGGGCTGCAGCACCAAAGGCAGACATGGTGGCAGTTGGGTACCATGCTGATGCCAGGACAGGCCTGTTGCAGTGGATCGTGTTGCAGAGGGAAGTGCGTGGGGGGATTAGAGGAAGTGGCGCTCTTCTCCCCTTCACAGTCCATTGACTGCCCCAGCCTGTTCAGCTTGCTCAGGGTTTGCTTTCCCTGGGACGAGGCGGTGAAATGTAAACAGTGTCGCTAATTAGAACAGAGACATTGCCAAGTTCCAGAAGGAAGCCCCTCCCCACCCACTGCCGCCCACCAGCCCGCCAGGCTGCAGCTGAAGCCTGCATGTGGCACAGGCTGAGCCTGTGCGCTTTTCACAGTTGCAGGGGTGGGGGGAGGGGAGGACTGCCTCCACGCCCGCTGCTGGGTGAGCAAGCTTGAGCAGCAACTCCAGGCAGTGGTCAGGGGCCTGGGCCAGTAGTCTAGGCTCTGGATGCTCTGGGCGAGCTGGATGAGCACAGAGGAACCATGCAGCAAACTCCCCAGTGTTCTTTTCTTCTGTGCACAGCCCAGAAGAGCATTTTGTCTTCCATGCGTCTCCTGACCTCCCAAGAGCCCTACATAGGAGAGGCTGATGCTTTGCCCTTGGGCTGAGCAGCACACTCGGGCCTAGAAGGCTGGAAGGCTTGCCCGAGCTCACCCGTGGTTACTGGTGTCTCAGCACAGCACCTGTTGAAAGGAAGGATGCATGCCACCCCGTTGGCTTTTCCTCTCACTCCCTCCCTGCCAAGAAGCCATGCCTCTGGCTCCATATGGCCCTGGAAACCTTCAGGTGGTTGCTGCTGTTTCTTGGCCCTGGGAGTGTGATAGGGCACATGGCTTCTGGCCCTTCCAGGACCCTGGACACGTGACTTAGGTTGAGCCTCAAGTCACTCCTTTAAAATGGAGGTGACAGTGGACATCTCTCCCAGGACTGTCATAGGACAGGCACAAAGTTGTCAGTAGCTGACACCATGAATGCTTGCTGTTAATGAGGAGTGTTTGCACACCAGTGTCTGCTGCCAGTAGGCTGTCCCTGTGCTGGAGTGCTTCTAGCCCCATGGGAGGCAGACAGGGATCTGGCACATACCACTGAGGGTGGTAGTGGTGTGGGGGTCCTAGTCACACAGATGGGTGTACAAGGAACATCTTCCCAGAGAAAGATGAAAGAGGGGGCAAAGGATGGTGGGAGCTGCATGTGTCCCGTTACCAGGCTGGATCCCCATATGGGTGAAGGCAAAGGGAGCAGGGGGGTTAGTGAGTACCAGGACCCCAGGAGCAGGAGCAGAGCAGTAGCTGAAGGGGCACAGACCTCCAGACCAGCCTGCAGCCAAGCTCAGAGTTGGCTGAGGTGCTGCTGGGCCTACCCAGGGGGTTGCTCCTTGACCCAGGCAGTAGCTCCCAAGGCTTTCTGAGAGTCTTGCTGCTTTCAGTCACCCTTGGCAGACCCAGTTCAAAGTTCCACCTTGTCAGCCTGTGTAGTAGCCCTGGGGGCAGGACAAAGGCAGTGTGTGTGCAGGCTCTGCTGTGGTCTGGACATCAGCAGACGACGGCCCCTTGATTTTGGGAGCTGGTGGAGCTGCATCCGGAAACCTCATGACGAACCAGGCCTACAGGATGCAGAGGCCTTCACTGAGCCACCAGCGCTGTGATGGGCAGGACAGCAGCAGGCGGTGGCCTCCTCACCTGCAGGGTGCCAGCGTGTCTGTTCACTCAGTGTTTTCTCAACTGTGCCCTGATTGACAGACCAGCGTTTACTCTGACTGCCATGTGGTGCTCATGAAGCAGCTTCTTCCAGAGAAGTCAGGGTCTCCAGGTGTCTGGTGGAGATAGCTTAGCACCAGGGCTGTCTTCCTGCTAATGAAAACACAGTTGCTGGCCCCTGGATAGGATAAACTTGTCCAGGCTTGGCCCCTCTCCTGCTCAGAATGACCCTGTCCTCTTCCTGTAGAGAAGGAAACCCAGGGAGCCTCAGGGAGCCCAGGACCTTGACTGCTCTGGGAGCCTAAAGGCCCAGCAGGGAGGAGGTGACCATCATTAAGGCCTCTGGTGGTTGAGTGGCCCTGGGGCTGCAGGACCAGGTGGTCTGCAGGGAAGCAGGGTGGGTGGTCAGTTTGGTAAAGGCCACGGGGAACTTCTAGGTGTTGGGGGTGGGCTTCCTGGGAGAGGCTGAAGTGGAGCTGTCTTTGAGAGTTGCCTCCTATGTGTCCAGGCTCCCACGGTGCTGTCCAGGCATGCTGTTGTCCTTGTAATGTGTGATGAGCCAGACCTGGTGCCTAGAGTGTAGCAGTCTGAAACAATCCCAGCCAGCTCTCATCATGGAAATATACCTGATCCTTGTAGCATGTACTAGATGGGTCTAGAAGGTCCCAACACTTCCCACCTCTGAGGGCTCCCTGCTGTTGCCCTGGGGTCTGCTCTCTGAGAATGCCAATCTCTTGCAAATGCCATCAAGGATCACACTGGTGGGGTCTGCTCCATTTCATCCTTGAGGGGAGACTGCCCCATGGGAGCTGGTAAACCAGAGCAGGGTCAGGCTCCAGGCTGGGCAGATGCGGCCAAGTCGAATGGTGCAGTCAGGAGGACTTCGCCGCAGAGGTATGCCATGTGTCTGGGCTGCCAGGTGTGCACTGAGGCCCTGGGGCCGGAACTCTGTGCTCTGCTAGCTCTGATCTATGGGGCTGTGAGGGAGGGCTGGGACAGCTGGTAGGGTGCAGTACTCCAGGCAGGGTCTGTCCCTGGACCCCCATCCCCAGGCCTTTGTGCCCCCTTCCTTCCCTAGGTCAGGTCACTTTTTAAAAAGCCTCAGGTAGGACTGGGGTGCAGCCCTACAGCACTTATCCAGTGTAGATGAAACCCTGAGTCCCATCCCCAGCGCTGCTGAAAAAAAGAAAAGGTTTTAGGTATTCGCCAAGCTATGTGGAATCAGGGGTCCTTTGCTACAGAGCCCCGTTCTCTGGAGATACCTGGAAGAAAATGGTACCTTTAGGGCAAATCTCAAATCCCAAGACTAGTAGGATATTCCTAGTCATCTTGGCATCGTCTCTGCCCTCTCTGGCAGAAAGGAGGTGACACAGCACAGCTCACAGGGTGCTCACAATCCCCAGGGTGGGTGGAGTCCCGGTGCCCTAAGTTACCCTCCTGGGGGGGCACAGCTGGTCCTTGGGACCATGCTGAGCCCAGGGTAGGCCAAGCACAGAGCCCATGTTCTTCCTACCATGTTGTCCTCCAGGATTGTCACAAAGGTGACCGGAAGCCCCCTGAGGTGCACTCCCAAGAGCAGCAAGGAATGAGGAAACAAGATGGAGCTTCCTGCTACAAGCAGCATCTGGGGTGCTGGATGGAGCTCCTGTAGGAGTTGAAGGCCTCTGGCTGTCATTGAGTGACACGGGGTTATTATGCTGTCATGGGCCATCTGGAATTCTCTCCCATCCCACCAGAGGCAGCTTCATTAGGAAGTCCCTCAGCCATTGTTAGCCTGGAGCCACACCCGCCTCCCCACCTACTTTCAATGACTGCCCTGAGGATTCCGCTGTGGGCCAGGGCATCAGCACAGACCAGAATCCAGAGCCGGACAGTGGCCTGTCCGTCCTGAGTAGGGTGGGTGCTGGGAGGTAGACCTGGAGGCCACCATGTGAAAGCACCATCAGGCCCAGGCCCCGTAGTCGCTGGCGCGAACCCTGCACACTCACCCACTTGGCCAACACCGGCCATGGGAGTTCTGCCTGCCTCCCTGGGGATAGCACTGCAGCCCTGCCCTGGGGACAGCCAGTGGCAGGGCTTCTTCTCCCTTAGGGAGCCCAGGGGCCCAGGGAGAGCAGCTGAAAGGAAAGGCTATGCAAGGCCCAGGTAGTGTTTGTGTGGCCACAGGCAAGTGTGTCAGTGTTGGTGGTGGTCACACAGCCACCTTTCCCCTGAGGGCACCCACCCCAGTGTGAGGCCGGAGGGTGTGGAGGTCAAGTGTGTGGGTCTCAGGTCTGCCCCTGCTGTGTGCCTCTCCTAGGCTTGGTTTTCCCATCTATAAAGTGGGCTTATCGTGATGCCTACCTCAAAGAGTTTGGTCAGGATCCGAGAGAGAGTGTCAGGGCATTGTAGTAGGTCCCTCTTATCCTTGGGCTGGGAGACAGAAGTGGGGAGCAAGTGGTACTGTCTAAGATCCTCTGCTCAGCATCAACGGCCTCCAGCCTGACTGGCTACACTTATTGTTCTCTCCAAGGAAAGACGGGGTCCATCTGCCTTCGTCCAAGAATGACCTCATGGCTGCCCCGAGGTGGCCTGGGTCCTCTCAGCAGTCGGACACACTTCAGGAAGTTCCCCATGTAGCCTGGTCTGACTACATTGAGGAACCAGGCCCATGGGTGAAGGCCTGCAGCCTGCCCATCTGGTCTGTAAGCCAGGAGGACAGGGATGAGGATAGCTCGGTGTCATCTGACCGCCTCTCTGGCTCCTCAGGGGGCCATGAATCGTGTGCCCGTTCCCATGGGCCCTGGAAGGAGAGGCCACCTCAGGTGTCAGGGCTCCAGCGGCAGCCCAGAAGGAGCAACCCACGGCTGGAACATCTGAGGGACAAGATCCGGGCCCAGGCACAGTGGTGGGCAAGCTGTGCCTCCCTGGGCACCTCAGTCCCCTCCAGTGCCTCACGCCTCTACAAAGCCTCCTCTCCAGTGCTCCAGAGAAAGACCCGCGAGGTGACAAACGCCTGTCCAACCCCCGCACACCCAGGTCAGTGGCCTCTTTGTCCGGTGAGGGATAGGCAGGCAGCAAGGTCACCAGAGGGCAGGCAGGATCAGGATGGTACAGGCTGGGCAGGGCACCTGGTCGGACAACCGGGGAGCTGTGTGCAGGCCCCAAAGGGGTTTCTGGCCCAGTGAGCCAATGCAGATTAGGGGGGCTTCTGAGCTGGGGTTAGGATGAGGAAGATTTCTCGATGGAAATGAGCGATGGTGGCTTAGAAGGATGGGGTACAGAGGGCCTCCAAGGAGTTGTGGAAGGGACCCAGTGTCCTGTGCCTGGGTCTGTGCTTTTGTCCCTGCAGCCTTGGGGAGAAAGGAGAGGGTTGAATGGGGGTTTTAGCAGACCACCCTAAAAGCCAGTGTGAAACTTAAAGGCCTACTGACTCACTCCCAGAAAAGACGGGGCATGTTTCCTGGCCCTGGAAAGGCTGGGGCCAGGGTGGTAATAATAGCTGAAGAGCTACCTTGTTGGAGGGGTGGTGGAGACTGGTGCTTTCTAAGGAACAGGGAGATGTTTGCCTTTTTTTTAAAAAAAGATAATGGCTTATTCTTTTTAATGCAGCAAAGTACATATAATGTAAAATTTACCATCTTAGCTGTTTTTTTCTTTTTTCTTTTTGGCAGTCATGGGTCTTAAACTCAGGGCCTCACACTAGTTAGGCAGGTGCTCTACCACTTGAGTCACTCTGCCAGCCCGTTTTTATGTTGGGTATTTTTGAGATAGGGTTTCATAACTATTTGCTTGGGGTGGTCGTGAACTTTGATCCTCCTGATCTCTGCCTCTCGAGTAGCTAGGATTACAGGTGTGAATCACTGGCACCGGACTTACCTTAGCCATTCTTAAGTGTTCTGTTCACTGGCACTAACTGTATTTGTTGTGGCCAGCTATCACAGAACTCTCCCATCATTCCAAACTAAACCCCTGCTCCTATTAAACACCAATGTCCTATCTCCATCCCCAACCACTGGTACCCACCTTCCATTTCCTGTCTCTGTGAGACTGATGACTCTGGGGACTTCACAGGAGTAGAATGCTACAGAGTTGGCCCTGCTGTGACTTTTCTTTTAAGGTAATGAATTTTGTTTTGAAGGTGTCACTAGCTCAAAGAAGCACTGTTCCCTGTGTACCTTCTATTCTCATTTACCCTAGTTACATTTTGGTCCTTGTCCCTGTGTTAGTCAACTGTTTAGTTGCTGTGACAAAATTCCTGAGAAAAACAACTTAAGGGAGGAAGGATTTATTTTGGTTCATGGTTTCAGATGTTCCAATCCATGTCACATGGCTCCATTGCTTCTGGACCTGTGGCGAGCAAGATGGTTGGACAGGCATGACAGACGTGTCACCTCATGTGGACAGAAAGCAGAGAGACAGACAGGAAGGGGCCAAGGATGAGACGTACCCTTCAAAGACACACCCCAGCGACCTGCTTCCTCCTCAGGCCCCGCATCCTAACAGCCCATTTGGCTATGAACTAATCTGTGGGTTGATCCACTGATGAGGTTGGCACCCTCATGACCCAGTCATCTCTCAGTTGTATCACCAGGTAGGGACCAAGCCTTCAACTCATGAGCCTTTGGGGCCATTTTATATCAAAACCATCCCAGCTCTGACTTGCAAAGGCTCACGTCGGTCTAGTAATGCCAAATGCATTCAGTCCATACACAAAAGTCCCCAAAGTCCCAGCCAGTGCAATGTTGCTCAAAAGCCCAAGTCCAACGTCTCCTCTGAGAATCAAGGCAAACTCCCGGCTGTAGGCTCCTGTAAAATTCAAAAAGTAAGTCATATGCTTCCAAGATACAATGGTACTAGGTAAACCTTCACATTCCAAAAAGAAGGAATAGAAAAGTGACAAGAAGGAATTGGGCCAAAGCACCACCGGAACCCAACAGGGTACACGTTAAATTCCACAGTTCATGTCTAGCACCCAGAGCACGTGGTGGTGTGACAGCAGCTCCAAAAGGCTCAGGAGTCCTGCCTCTGTGGCCTTGCCTACTGCACAGAGTGGGCTGGCTCTGCTCCTGCTGGTGGCTTTCCTTGACAGATGTTCCCCACTCTCAGCTTCTCCAACTTTCTGGGGTGTACACTGCAGTTTAGGTTTCGCTCTCACAGCTGCACACATTGCCCTCTCAGGGAATCTGATCCTGCTACACATTATCTCCACGCCTGCCTTTGAAATCTGGGTGGAAGCCTTGATTGCCTCATAACTCATGAAATCTGACTGCAAGACTAGTTTTATATGGACAATGCTCAGACTTGCAGCCAGCTCAAGTAGTGATGGGATCCACTTGGATCATGACATATTAGTGCTCTGAGTCTTTCCTGAGATTTCTCAAGGCGTCTCTTCTTTGTCCAGGGGCAAATTATACGGATCATTTTTAATGGCACTAATCTCTTCAGCAACTCGACCTTCCTTTGCCCCAACTTTGCATGTGCCTCTTTTTTGACCAAACTGAAAGCTTTCAAATATTTTTCTCTCTGCTTTTTGCTCCCAATTGTCACTGTAAATCTGGCTAAAAGCAGCCAGTGGTTCCCATGTCACTTCGCCTCACACAAAGTCTCCAGGACCGACAAAATGCACAGTTCTTTGCCAGAGTACAACATGAATGGTCTCTAGTTCAATTCCTAATGGAGTCCTTATTCCAGTCTGAGGTCTTATGAGCACAGTATTGACTGTCTACATTCCTCTTAGCATCCTGGTCTTCTGGGCTCACACCAGAAGCATCCATTAAGCTTACATTGGGGGGCTTCTCTGGCCTGCATCCTAAACATTTCCAAATTCTGAGTCAGTTCTGAAGGCTTATGAACCACATGGGAGGTTAGGTATAGCAGGGACCCCACTTCTCAATGTTAACTTGCTGTGTTAGTCAGATTTTCGTCACTGTGATACATACCCGAGAGGAACGTGGTATGTTTATTTCACTCCATGGTTTCAGAGGTTTCTGTCTATGGCCAGCTGACTCTGTTGCAATGGGCTGAAGGTAGAGGCAGAACGCCATGGCAGCAAGGCATGGCAGAGGAAAGCTGCTTACCTCGGGGCAGCCAGGAGGCAGAGATAGAAGGACCTTAAAGGATTTATCCATTAACGGCGTGTTCCCAGAGACCTTCTTCCTCCAATCAGACCCTGCTTCCCAATAACGTCATTGAATAGGGGATCAATCAACGGGTTCATCCATTGGTTGAGAACAGCCATGATCCAACTGCCTCTCAATAGCACCACCAGCTGGGACCAAAGCTTCAACACATGAGCCTTTGGGAGTACACTCCATATCTAAACCCCAACAGTCCCTCGCATCATTACTTCTCTCTGCAAAGATGGGACTTAGTGGACCTGCTGAGATGCCCTATTCTGGGCTGCATGGTCCAAACCATGCTTAGAGCCCAACACGAGGCACACAGAGCCCTGCTCACTGCTGGCTCGAGGAAGCTTACGGGGTAAGATGGTTGTGCCAGTTTTGGTGGGAAGGAGATGCTGCTCCCCTGCTAAGTGCCTGTGTGTGTCCAAATGGCTTCATAGGATGTGTTCCTGGTCTTGGAGTGTTGGTCAGGGGTTTAAAGGCTTCGGACGATTGCCAAATTAGGACCTTGTCCTGGAAATTCTTTGTGGAATCTTTTTGCCCTCTCTCCCCTCTTAGGCATTCTTCATGCTGCTGAGCACAGGGTGGAAGACAAGGCATTTCCTGGCCTGGGACGAGACCTCTCCAGGGTCACCCAGCGCCAAGCTTCCGGTGAGTGGCTCTGGGTTGGATGCTTGGGCCATGGTGTGGACACCATATGTTGGGTCCCACTCACAAATGAGGACCCTAGCTGGGAAGGGGCTGAGTGGGGATTGGGAGCCGTCATTCTCTGGAGCCTGGATTCTAACCCTCGGCCTCTCAGGAGAAGGAATCCAGGCAGGCCGTGCAGGGGAGGGGAGCTGGGCAGGGGCGTCTCCTACGCAGAGGAGGAGGATTGTTTCCACCTCCTCACATGGCAGCCCCAGGCTGGGCCACAGGTTCTCCAGGTCCCTGCTGGTCCGAGGGCTTGCTGAGCCATCTTGCAGATGGGAGGCACTGCACATAGAGAGCTCTGCCTGGAGTGGAGATGCTGAAAGGTCAGCAGACTTCCAGGTCATGGGGATGAGACCAGGGGCTCAGGGGATACTGGGGTTTTATTCACTCATTCATTCAATGATGGAGGGGCTTAGGGAGGTGGAAGGAGCTGGTCAGGGAGCCCAGAGGGCTAGGTCATTGAGAGCATTGCCTCATCCCACAGTGGGAGCTGTCTGAGGATGCTGACCTCTGGTGGGCCTGCTGTTTGAGGGCAGGTGTGGGGTGGAGTCTGTTTCTACAGGCTAGAGAAAGGCAGACCCCTGCAAGATTTCGGAGATCCCAGAGTGGGAGAGGAGAAGAGGCTTGGAAGCAGAGGTGTTTTGGCACAACCCCCACAACGACTCAAGTCCCATATGCCCTTGGTTTCTGAGTTGTCCAGTCCAGGGGGATAGCAAGGGTGCCCCGTGGGGCTGTGGGAAGCAGGTAAAGAGAGGGGCAGGTTCCCAGCAGGGTGGCAGTAGCTGGCAGAGTGAAGGTTGGTTAACACTGTAGCCCGAGCCATGCTCAGGCCAGCTGTCACTCCCTGGGTTCCCTTGGGGCTTAGCTTATTCAGTCCTTTCTTTCCTCAGCAGAGAGGAACTCATGCCCTGGGTGGCAAGCACTCTATTCCTGTGTTGTCTCACGACTCACCTTCCTTCCCTTCCTTCCTCTCTCTTCCCTGAAGTTTCACAGGAAAACACCAGAAGGACCAGAAGCAGTTCTTGCAAACGAGAGAAGGTCCCCAGGTCACCACCCCCCAGCAGAGCTGCCAAAAGCAAAGGTGAGGTTTGGAGTCCATGATCCCCACTGGTGAGGGGGGAGGAGGCTCTTGATTCTGTGCAGGTGATGGCTGGCTGCCTGTGCTGCCATGTGCACAGGGATGGGGGGCACCTGGGATCTGTGGGCTGGCCTGAATGTCAGGGTCCTATCCCTCATGACTGGCAACCCTGGACCCCACAGCACAGAGACAGCAGGTGGTTCCCATCCATGCCAAGCTGTGTCCCTTGGGGTGAAGTGAAAGTCTATAAGCCCCCAAGTGCAGTCTACTGTCCTGTCAACCCCTGCAGACTGGGAGTCTAGAAGGACACAGGCCATCCAACCACACTCCAGCAAGCACTGCCAGTCCAGCAGGGCACTGGGAGGGGCTGGGGAGGTATGACTGCTTGGTCCCCTCCTGCAGCAGGGAGCCTGTAGAGGCTGGGCATTCCTGGCAGCAAGAGCAGGGTGTACACTTTCAGGTCAGCACTGGGCGGGAGGAAGGGCCTAGGCAGATCCTGCCTCTCCCATGGTTCTGGGGACTCACAGCTGAACATCTGCATGAGCTGAATGTCATGGCATGTCCTGGAGGGCTGCACTAAGTGGCCTTGTGGGTGGTAGGTGGTCCCAGTAGGATTTCTAACTCAGGCATCTCTTCCCTGAGGTTGGGGCCTGCAGAGGCCCAGCCTTGTGGTCAGGTGCTCACGGACTGAACCCAGAGAGGTGCTCCTGCCCTCCCTTTTCTCCAGGGAAGGGCCAGATGTGATTGTCTGAGCATCAGCGGGAGGGAGGTGGGCAGAGTCCCCCGGACTCCCCTTTAGAATATCCTTGAGGTCAGGTTGTGTACCCATCCTATAGAACCTCCAGGAGGTTCAGCAGCCTGTCCAGGGCCTTACAGGCACAGGGAGCCAGCTTGGGGCCAGAGCCAAGCATGTGTACCAGAGACTGTGCCCAAGGCCCCTTGTCAAGAGCCACCAGGAGCTCTCATGGGGAGGAAGCTACCCACTGGGGCTGAGGTCGGCTCTGTGGGGCTCTTACTGTAAGCATAGGCAGGGCTAGAGGCCAGGATATAGTTCCCGAGCTGGCCTCTGCGAGTCTCTGTGCCTCAGTTTCCCCCCACTGTGAAATCACAGTACTAAGCAGTGGGTGATATGTGCTCTGTCCACACCTGCACCTGTGTCTCTGTCCAGCGTTGTCAGACACCCGCTTCCTCTGCTCCCGGGCAGAGCAGTGGCTTTTAGTGGAATGAACGAGTATCCCTTCTCCATGCCACACTCAGCAGAGGGTCCCCCAGTGAAGTGGGGAAGCTTAGCAGGGCTGGGTGGCATTGGGCAGACAGGTCTGTTAGCTGGCAGAGGCGACACAGGACAGGAAAGAAAACCTTCACTGGAGCCCAAGAGTGAAGGACACTACTGGGCTCTGAGAAGTTTCCAGAAGACCCCCTGAAAATGCATAAAATATAACCACTGTCCACGTCATCATCTCCCTACCCCCAGCTTTTTGGTTTGTTTTGTCTTAATGGCTTGCTTGAAAAATGACCTGCCTTCACGCCTGACATGGGGTCAGAAGGGCGTGCCACCGGCCGCATTCATCATCGTAACCACGGTGTCACCCTGACGGTGGTGACCATTAGTTTCTGTCAGTGACGAAGTCACAGCTGGGCTAAGGAGATGAGTTTGGGTTCAGAGGTCAGAGCCACAGGACTTGGGAATTGGATGAATTAGAAATTTGCTGTAGTTAACAAAAAATTAAATCACAATAGTTATAAAATATTCATCCATCTGGGCCAAAGGAAAATGAAGCCCAATATTTAATTTCAGATTATATCACCTCGCTTTGCATTTTTATCATAGATTAGGTCGGCCCGGAGCGTTGACAGGGCACTTGGGGCCTCCATCCATTTCCACAGATTAAAAATCCTCTCGTAAAAAAATTAATTGCCATTAAACTGCTCAGCAGAAGAAAAAAAATGTGCCCATCAGGACCCATTCATCGACCGGGATCCCTCTGGTGGGCTAATGGGGAAGCTGAGTGGCCCGTGATGGAGGGGACCGAGGGGGTGCAAAGGGGTTGGTGGGCGAGTGGCCCTGCCCATGCAGGGTCTCTGAAGTCTGGCCACTTTTGTGCAGGGAGTAGCTATGGGGCAGAATAGAGAAGCCCAACCTGGCTGGTTCCCCGATCCCAGAGCTCACCTGAAACCCAGATGTGGACAGTTGGGCCAAGCTGGCCTCTGTGCCTCGGGTCTTGGACTCCACCCTGAGCCAGCAGAATGTGGACCCTATTGTAAGCCCACTGAGAAGCCTGTGACCTTTCTTTTGCCTTTGTGGCCCCTTGGGAGGTGCTGCTGGATGTGCTCCCCATTTTACAGATAGGGAAGCGGAGGCCAGGAGAAGTCGAATCTCTTGGTCAAGGTCCATACCTGGTGAGTGTTAAGGCTGGACTATGAGACCACGCTGTTGACCTCCCCTGGCCTGGGGTTCGGACCCCCCGGTGAAGACATAGCCTGGACGGCATGGCCAGGTGCGGCTCATCCTCCATCCTGGAGAGGTAGTTTTAGGCTTGTAACTGATGACTCAGGGTCAAGGCAGCTCTGGGAGAGGTTCAGAGAGGACCTTGACTCAGCCAGATACCTTGTCCAGGGTCAGCACTCTGGGCGGTCCTGGCCATGAAGCACCCTGACTTGGCAGTAGTCCCCCTCCATGGGGGGCAGGGCAAGGCTTGGCTGAGACCACATGGGGGTCTTGGTCCAAGGCTTCTACGTGGTACTGCTCTGAGCTGGACCCCAAGGAAAGTGCATGGGGTGGCCAGGAACCCAGCGCAGGTGAGATCCCAGCCTTGCAGAGCCAGCTGGACCTTGGGTGCCTGTGTGTATGCAAGCACGTGAATCAACATGTGTGCACACATGTGAATGTGTGTGAGTGAGCGTGTGTGCGAGCATGTGTGAACACGTGGGCCTGTGAGACTGTGTGAGCCCACATGTGAGCACGTGTGTGTTGGGGAGGGCACGTGGATGTGTTATATGAGCACACGTGTGTGAGCCTGTGAACGTTTGTAGAGCCTTGTGCGTGACTGTGAACACGTGCGCTTGCGTGTGCATACATGTGTGCGCGAAAGGCCTGCTTCCTGCCCTTTCTGGGGCCCTTGTGGATGTGTCTGTAATGATGGTGGGACTGGTATTGGCATCTGGTGAGTGAAATCTGGGATTATGAAGTAAAACCTTGATAAATGGTGTTTATTGCATGTCAGCGTTTATTAGAGAGAGCTCGTTTGTGCATGGGATGAGGTGGGTCGTTTATTTCCACAACATCTAGGAGGCCTGGGAGCCGGCATTGATCCCACCTGTGGCTGTGACTCCCACTGACACAGATTCATCTGCAGCTGATGTACCTGGTTGTAGCTCGGCTGGCCATGGCTCAGGGCTGCCCCAGGGTTGCTGTGTCATCGCTGTCCCTGGCCAAGCACGGGCGAGTGCTGGGTTGAGTGCTCCCCAGGCAGAGTTGTCAGGAGTAGGTTTCGTCGCCCTCGCTTTACTGAAAAGGATTCCGAGGATCAGAGAATTTAAGACTCTTGCTCACTCAGCCCCCCTGAAAAACGCAGCCCCATGCTGGCTAGGGTTCGGCTCTGAGGGGCCCGGATGTGGAGGATTGTACTCTGAACCCTTCCAGGGACGTGCAAAGTGGTCTCCAGGGGCTGTGGAGCCACCCACCTCCCCATCCAGGCCAGCGTTCAGAGGGCCCCAGTACCCACCAGTTTGTGTTTTCTCTTTCTAAGATTCTGAGTTGGTTGGTGTTTACGCCTGGAGGAAAGGACAAGCCCTAGCGAGGTCGCTGCTTGGGCCCCCTCCCGTCTACCCCAGGCTCCACAGCAAGGCACCCTCCAGAGACCGGACCCCTGCCATGAAATTAGGTACCTCATGCTTCTGCCATGGGCTCCCTCCACCTTTGCTTTGGCATTGCGGGGTGGGCATGGAGGAGGAGATGCCCCGTCTCCACAGCACCAGGGAAGAAGGCACTAGGGTGCCTCTCCCGGAAACCCATCAATCACTCTCTAAATCCACCATTAGAGAGGTGACTTTGGGAATAATTATATTTAAAAACCGGGGGAAAGGAGTTCTGTCCCTGGAAGCTTCTGGTCTGCTCCTGCGAGTTTCCACCTGGGCTTTCCTGACAGAAAGAATACAGATGGGAGCCAGCCACTCCTGTGGCAGATCCCACCCCATGTGTGCTTGGCCGATGCCATGTCCAGAGCGGGCAGCTTGCCCACTGCATGTTGATGAGTGCTAAGGCTGAGAGGGAGCTCATGGGGCAAGGCCCTGTGCCACACCCCCAAGTGGAGGACATTCCTGCCCTTCCCTCAGCCTGCAGTACCCGCTACCCTGCTGCTTGTTGCTGTCTGTCTTTATAGGACGTCATAAGAAAGCTACAGTCACCAAGGGCTCACCTGTCCACACCTGGTCGTCCAGGGTCACCTCTGCCCACAGTGACCAGCAGGTGTCCAAGAACACACCCAGCCTGGTTTCCCACAATCAGCCAGATACCATCCAAACTGCTATGGCCATCCTACAAGACCTCCGCCAGCAGGTCCAGGCTGGGCTGGAGTTGGCCCAGCGACCCAGGAACTGGCAGAAGCTTGGGTCATGGAAACCAACGCCACAGAACCTGGAAGGGAAGAGGCAGCAGGGCCCACAGAGCACCTGGGACATGCAGGGCTCCTCCTCAAAGAATCCTTGGGCTCTGACAGACAAGGCTACAGGCTCCTTTGCCCAGCAGCCTTGGGACACCATGGCTGAGTGGGAACCCTGTCCACAGAGGGACTGGGAAGCCCAGGCACAGGACTTCTCCTTCCAGAGGCCTGGGAGCCCCCCTGAGAGGTTGGGCCCATTTCCCCAACGACCCTGCAGTGCTCTGGATGGTCAGGCCTATCCACAAAAGGCCTGGGCTGCTCTAGGACTGGACCCCTCCTTCCAGAGGCCTGTGAGCCCCCGTGAAAAGCTGAGGTCCTCCTCACAACGGCCCTGGAGCTCCCTGGATGGTCAGGCCTATCCACAGAGGGCCTGGGCAGATGTGGAAGACCAGCAGTCCCTGTCTTCAGACCATGGAGCCATCTGGAAAGGCCATGTTCTGCCCCCCAGCAGCCCTGGAGAAGCTTCTTCGTGCAGAGGGCTGACTCACCCTGCAAGGACAGAGGCACTGTCCCCTCTGCTTTGAGAGCCAAGCAGCCCTGGTTGAGGCCCACCCAGGACTTCCCCCAGAACCCACTGAGAAAAAAGCAGGAAGAACGGCAGCCTCCACCCTGCCCCAGGCTCCAGAGGCCCCTAGGCCAGCCACATAGCTCTGAGTCTTTGCGTGAGTTCATACGCAGGAAGGCCCAGGCCCGGAGGCAGCAGGCCCTGGAGCAGAAGGCCTTGGCCACACATACACTGGAGCTGAGAAACCAGAGGCTGCAGGAGGTCTACCGGAAGCAGAGGGAAGCAGTGCTCGGCAAGGTGATCCCTGTGGTCTCCCAGACCAAGCCCGGCATCGTCACCTTTGTCCCCAGTTCTGCACAGGCCAGGGTACGTGCTAGGTGGATGAACAGGTTGCATGGCCCAGACTCGGTGCCTGAGAGATGGGCCCATGGGGTCTTATGGCCTGAGGTTCTAACTGCATCCTCTCTACTTTAGGGCCTGGAAAACCCCCAGAGCTGTGGGTCACCTGTGCTGGAGTGGAGCAAGGTGACATCTGGAATGGTGCTAGGTGACCAGGAGGCCCCAGACAGGTGGGTATGGGGAAACCCTTGGTAGAGGATGAATTCTGAGACTCCTGGGGGGATTCTTCTCCACTGCCCATGGCACCCCCAGCCCTGCACAGGGCAGTGGTCGGTCCCCACTGTGTTTTTACTGAGGAAAGAGAACAGTCGTGAACTTAAATTATCCATTTTTAAGTGCACAGCTTGGGGGGCACTTAGTGCATCTCTGTCCAGCTCCAGAATGTTTCAGCACCCCTAAAGGAGACCCCACACTCTAAGCAGCCACTTCAGCAGCCCCACCACCCCAAGCCCTGGAAAGCAGCTTTCGGCGAGCAGCTTTTGGCAGGCAGCTCTGCGGTTCACCTCTTCGTGACATTTCTTGGGTCTGACTTCTGTCACTGAGCATCACATCCTCGAGGTTCACCGGTGCCCTCGTGTGAACCAGGACTTCCTTCTTTCTGTAGCTGAGTGTGCCTTGTTGCATGTACACGTTTTGTTTGTCCATTGTTTGTTGAGGGATGCTGGATTTCTTCCACCTTGTGGCTACTGTGAACAGTGCTGCTGTGATCTGGCTCACGTACCTGTTTGAACACCTGTTTTTATTTCTCTCGGGATGTACCTGTGTGTTCAATGATAATCCAGAAAGACATGTCCTGAGTGCCACCACGAACAAAATCCCTGACGTCTAAAATCTTGAAAATCACAACCCTGAAAGACTTAAATCCCAAAACACAATTCTAGAAAAAAAAATTTTTTTTTTAATTCAAGAGACATTTTCCTTTTCAAAGGGGGATTTATTTGAAAAACAGAAAAGCATGACAGAATATTTCATCAGCCACTTTACACAATAAAATATGCAAATAAGTACATACGAATTTTTGCAAGCATAAACTCTCAGGTATACTGACAATACTCACAAAGAAATAAGTCAAAATCAAAATGTATAAACGTATCACCACGGCTGGTGATCATGAGCACCTGTTTAATATCCACGATTGTCTGAAATGCCTTGAGAGACGCCTGCCTCTTAATGGGATCCATCCCAGTCCACCACAGGGCCGCCCAGGACACGCAGTTGACCAGGGGTGTATTTTACCCTTCATGAAAGCAGACGTGCAGAGAGAACTTCTCTTCCTGCACCGGATGTTTCAATGTTTAATGTCCTGCAAAATGCTCGTGCACAAAGCTGGAGTTGTGATGATAAACTTTCCTGGGGTCCAACTTGCAAAAAGTGCACAAAACCAACTAGAACTCTAGGTTGTTCCACAGCGCCTACTCCAGTATTGGCGATGGCGTGAGGATGAAACACACAGCCAGCCGGTTGTAAACGACAATGCCGACAATTTAAAACAGCAGAGAAAAAACTAAAATGAGAATAAATAAACACAAACTGAAAAGGAACTGGGTGGGGTGGCTCAGCCTCCAGGGAGGCTGAGGCAGGAGAATCTCAAGTTTGAGTCCAGTCTCAGCTACATAGTGAGTTCTAGGCCAGCCTGAAACTACAAGGTGAGACTCAAAAACATAATGGAGCTGGGTCACAGGTCGTCGCACAACAGAGGCATAGCGTAACAACTGCCGCCTTTCCTGTTCACGCTCCACAGTTTGGAAGTCTCTCATCAGGATGGACAGCTGCTTTTTTCTTATAGGACCTGGTTCTTCCCGGACACTACGTGGTGCGTCTTCCCCACCTGGCCCACTGTCCGTGGAAACATTCTCACAGACACGCTCAAGCCACGCTCCCCAGAGTTTCCAGGCCTTCTCCCACCCACCACGAAGCGGCCGTCCTGTGGAGGCCCACAGCTGAAATCACGCTCCTCCGTGCGCAGAGCTCTGCTCTCCACCCTGCCCTACAGCCCTGGAGCACCAGATTTCAATGTTCAGGATTCAAGTCTTGCAGTACTGGGATTTTAGACTTTCAGGAGTTTGCTCTTTTGGGATTTTAACCTTTGGGATTATGGCGTTTGGGATTGTGATTGGTGCTGCACACGTGGGAGGGGGTTGACAAGGTCCACAGCGCCTCTCGGTATATACAGCTTTTTCAGAAGTTCCCAGACTTTCTCGGTGGCTTCCCTGTCTTAGGTTCCCACCAGCAGTTACTTTGCATGTGCTGACTTACTTTCTGGTCCTTTTCCTTTTTTGGTTTTGATTACCTGTATTTTAATCAAGCCAGGGCAGTTCCTCTCCCAGCAGCATCCTGCAGCACATGGGGTGACTGATGGCCCTCTCCCTTGATCTGTGGAAGGTGTGCCTGTCCCACTGGCTCTTGTCTGGGAAGGGCTCCACAGACATCACAGTGGGCCTCAGCAGTGCCAGTCACTCCTTAACCTGACCTCATTATGGCTGTCTGCCGAAGAGCTCGTGACCAGTCCAGGTGGTGGGGGAGCTGGCACACAGCTGGGGTGGGGCTGTCCCCAGGAGGCTCCCACCAGGAAGGGTGCTGCCCTGGGCTTGCCTGGGGCTCCCCGAGAGTGTCTTTGGCAGCCAGTGTTGGACGGGGCTTTGGGCTGAGCTCCTTGGTGCCCAGTTCCCATGCCTCCTTGAGTGTTCAACCCCCAGATGGGATGGGCATCCGGTTGTTTCCACCTCTGGCTCTTGTGAAGATCTATGTTCATGCCTTGCTTTCCATACTTTTACCTAGAAGTAGACTGGCTGTCATACGGCAATTCGATGTTTAATGTTTGAGGAACCATCAGACTACTTCCCCCAGCTGCCGCACCACCTGTCACTCCTGCCAGCAGTGTGCAGGCTCAAGTCACCACACTTGGTCCTCCGTCTATATAACAGCCACATGTGGTTGGAGGAGTGGATGCCTCAGCCCTCTCCCTGGTCCACTGTGAACAGATACTGGCTCTGTCACTAATGTCCCCTCATTGCTCCTCCCTGCTTCACACATGCGTTTATCACACATGTGTTTTGCACACAGTGCCCAGAGGGGCCTGGCTGAGCATTTGTATACTCTTCTCTTTCCACAGCTTCTGTCTGTGTTTGAACCAAGCCTGGAACCATGCTGAGGGCCTGGACACCCGAGGCCCCCGGAACAGTGTGAGTGGTTCCCCTCTGTTGCTGTCTGCTGCTTTCTCCCTGGGTCCCCTGAAGCTCCAGGACCTGCCCCGGGGGCTGTGCATCTACCTGAACCCCCAGGTGTCCAGGTGTCATGGAGGCTGAGTGTCTGGGCCCATTGGGCCACCTGCACTTCCAGTACAAGCAGGCTCGGCTGCAGGCCCTGGAGACCATGGCTGGTGTCCTCAAGGAACGCATCGACATCCTAACAGCCAAGCTGCACAGGTCGGAGTCACTGGACACTGCTGGAGTCCTGACCTCAGACTTGCCAACCTTGGGCCTCAGCACCAAGGGGCCTGCTGTCTCCACGCTTGCTGCTGCCTCCACACTCACTGTTCCCACCTGCCCTGGGGCCTTGGTGTCCAACAGGGACAGAGGGGTACCCCAGGACTGGGTGGACATGCAGGCCAGGCCGCTTTTCCCCGCCACCTACCTCCTGGATGGTGAGATGCTGTTGTGGAGCCCAGGGTGGGATCTGCAGAGCCTGAGCCCGAGGGCCCACCTCGAAAATCAGTCCCAAGGTGGGGCTGGGGCTCTGGGCACGATGACTATCGGGTGGCCTGGGTGGTCTGTGGGCTGGGAGCAAGGGGGCCCCCCTCTCCACCTGCCCCTTGGTTTCCTCTCTGGAAAGCGGGATAGGAGACAATAGCCTGGAGTTGTCCAGGGGACATGGGGGTGACAGTAACTGACCTATCTGGCACAGTATGTGACACATGCCATAACTGTCTTATCTATGCCAAAGAAGGGGTGAGGCCACTCCTGCAGCCCTTGCACCTACCACCTCTCTGTCCTGCCTCCCACATGGGGCAAGAAGGCCAGGTGAGGCCCCCATGGCTCTGCAGTGCTGTGTTAAGACACTCCTGCCAGTGTCTTGGGTCACCCCTCATGCCCTGCAGTTTCTTGCCTTCTCAACTTATCATGAAATCATGGTGGCCTTTCCAAAGGTGTCATGGAGGAGGGAGACTGGGAGCTGGAGAAGAGGCTACATAGATGCTCGTCTTCCTACCAGGCCCTCTGCTCCTGTGCAAGGTGAGTGCAGTATACGTGCTGTGCTGCGGCCATGGGATCAGGGCTGTCTCTGTGCCCCATTAACTTCCCACACTGGTCCAGAGGTCAAGGCCAGGTTCTGAGTGCAGACTGGGTGGGGAGTGACGCAGCTCCTAGGACCTGGACCTGGTCATGCTGGTTCTAAGGCTGACCAGGGCAGGAGATGCCTTTGTCACACAGTGGCTTTCACACATTTCTGTGGCTGGGCAGCTTGCAGTGGGCCCTTGACTCAAGCCTCCCACTGGGCAGTGAGGCACCTCCAGGAAAGACCACCCCCTGAAGACACCATCATCTCCCATGATGGCTCTTTCTTATTTGTTGTTGGCAGACTGCCTGTCTCCAGGGATCTGACTCAGAGATCCTGTACAGGTCCCATGTCAAACATCTAAGTTCCCAGAACCACCTAAATCTCACCTCACCTTCTTCCAGTTCTGTCTGCAGGTATGGCCTTCTTTGGCTTCAGTTCACACAGGGGGAATTGGAAGTTCCTTTTGCAGGGTTGCTGTACCTGCTCTGTGTCCCCAGGCGCATTTTTTTTTTCTCAGTACGGGGCCTGAACTCAGAGCCTATACCTTGAGCCACTCTACCAGTCCATTTTTTGTAATGGGTTTTCTTGAGATAGGGTCTTGCAAACTGTTTGCCTGGGCTGGCTTCAAACTGTGATCCTCCTGATCTCTGCCTCCTGAGTAGCTGGGATTACAGTTGTGAGCCACTAGAGCCCAGCTCCCCAGGCCCATCTTACCCCAGCCCCCCTTCTGCTCTTAGGAAGAGCAGCTGTGCCATCTCAAAAACATTCCTTATCCCTGTGGCCTGCCCAAGCCCCTCTCTTGCTCGGACCAAGGTTGCTGTGTAGGGCCTTCTTGAGCCAGCAGCCCTGCTGGTCCCCAGTCCCTTTCACGCCTCCTTCCAATGGCTCCCTGCACTGCTTGCTGCCCTAGGCCCCTCTCCTCATTGTCCTTGACCTGAGGCACCTGGAGAGGAGACCCCATCCCAGTCTAAGCAGCTTTTCCCCAGGCATTCCAGGAACCTGGGGTTTAAAATCTCAGAGCTGTGCCCAGAGAGACACAGAGTTGAGGGTAGGGGTTCCTTATGGAACCCTTGGGGGTGGTCTTGGCTTGATCCATGTCTGTGCTTGACAGAGTCCTCCAGGAACACCCCAACATCAGTTCAGTCTCTAAGAATAGGGGTCACCATAGCACAGGCCTCACCTGGTCTGTCTTCAGCTTGGCAACTTAGTGGGCTTAAGAGGCAGACCGCTCACACGAGCGTCTGCAAGGCTGAGGTGTGGGAGCCAAGCCAAGTGCTCAGTGCAGTAAGGACTGGGGCTTCAGGTCAGGTCACTAGAGGGGCAGCTGTCATGTGGAGTCAAGGGTAGTTGCTGCTAGATTCTGAGGTATCCCCAGGCCTGGGGCACAGAGCCCCTTGGGGCTTTCCGAGGACAGGGGAGGTAGGTTCAAATCCCAGCTCTGTCAGCTGACCTTGAACAGTCACACCCCTAGCCTCAGAGGCTCCCAGGGAAGTGGGGTGCTGAGAGCATCCCACCTGCAGAGGAGGGAGATGTTGAGTCGTCTTCTTCCTCCCCCTTCACCCTCCTGTTGGGACATTTCTCTCCCAATACCTCCCCTGCCACCCTCTAAGAAACTCACCTCTCCTCTCTTGACACCCGCAATCTCAGGGAGTCGTGGGTTTGGTGTTGTGTTGGTCCTGGGAGTTGTGTCCTGACTGACTTACTGTGGCCAGTAGGGAGCAGCATCACGCCAGGCGCTCCCTCTGCAAATGTGACCTACTCCCTAGTGAGGGAATCCTGTGTGCGGATTTTTGAAGAAGTTAATTTCAGTGCTCCAAGTGCCAAGGTGGACAGGCTAGGTCTGTCCCCAGGGGCCCAGAACCAGACCCAGAAGTTCCCAGTGTTCTTGGCTCAGAATCACAGGGGGCAAAGGGCAGAGGGAGCAGCCTGGGCTCCCCTAGGCCTTCTCCCCAGTGTTTCCACCCTGAATGACCCAACCCAAGGCAGCCACTGGGCACTACACCTCCCTCCCAAGCCCAGCAGTGGAAGAGAGACAGGAAGAAGCAGGAGTAATTCAGAAGCTGTACCACAGAAGGACAGGGGCTCTGGGAGAGCAGGGATTAGGGATGGGGCAGGGACTTGCTAGGCCCTCCGGAGCCCCACCTGTCTCTTCCGAAGTACTCCCTTTCCCCACTTGGTGGGGCTGGGACTGGGGCCAAGTGTCCATGTGTGTGTGGCTGGGAGTCCTGGCACCTCGCCCCTGAGGACCAAGTTCAGTGCTTCCTTCTCCTGGCTTGTGGGTTTCCCTCCATGTCCCTCAGATGCACCACATCCAGGGCCTGGTTCCCGCTGCCTCTCGGGGTAGTTTCTGGGTGCGGGTGTGACCCTTTCCTCTGCCCCACAGGGACCTGGCACTCAGTGGCAGGTGAGGACCCATCCCATCGCCAGCATCTTGAGGTGAAAGGACGCTAAGGGTGCCAGGCATCTGTTCACTAGGCTTGGCCCCAACCATCTCAGCATTCTCAACTCACACCCAGGGCTGCCGCTGCTTTCTGGAAACTTCTTCCATGCCTGTGCTCCCTTAGTGCCATGCAGCCCCTTACGGCCTCAAAACATGTCCATCTGTCCTGGAAAACCCTGAGAGCCCTGGGCAGTAGGTCACCGTATCCCAGGCCCCACACAGCCCCCAACTTGCAGCTGGTACAAGAGACAGATACCCATGGTTCCCATCCCCCACCATCCCCAGTGCTGGACACAAGTGTGGGCGGATCACCAGTGACTCAGGAAGATCCCAGGTCGCTGTGTCCAGGGACAGATGGTGCCCTAGGAGAAAACAGAGCTGTGGTCACCGCCCCCACATGCTCAGCGCACGCCCCATTTACACTCTTTCCGTGCTCTCAAATCCTCTAATCCCAGCAGCTGCTGCCAGTGCTTAGCGGCACTCCACCCACCTTGGCCGCTATTGCCTGGGCAAAGGCCTACTGCCCACCTGTCTCCTCACCCTGATAGCAGACAGTGCTGGTCAGCCTGAGGGAGGGCAGTTGTCCAAGTACAGCTGGGCCTTGGTCCTTGGTTATGGCTGGAGTAGTCCCCATACAGGTCAGGCCTGCCCTCTCAGGCCCTCTGTAGGGCAGGGCAGCTGCGCCAGCCACAAGAATGGGTAAGAGGTGGGTCAGAGCTGATGCATAGCTCTTATTCCATCCTAGGCTGGTGGGTAGTCCCCCTAGCAGTTGGCAGAGGTGACCAGGTTGGCCATGCTGGCAAATAGGGTTCTGACCTGGGCCCCAGAGCCCAGTGGTGACAAGAGCTGACCTAGAGGTCTGGCTGGGTGTTGGTAGAGCCCTGTGGTAGCAGTACCTGGGCTGTGCATCACAGATAAAGACTGGTGACCTCACCTACATGGGTGCTACCTGTTCACTGCTGCTCACTGGGTCACGGCCCTGTCTCATGCAGAACCCTGGTCACACTGCCTGGGTCTGAGAGCTGCTGAGGGCCACAGGAGCCTAGATTCCTGCTGAATGAGGGTGCTGCCCCGCAGATCCTGCCTCTCCTCATCTCCTCCACAGCCCAGCCTTGCTCACTCACCACGTGCTTCTTGTTTTCCAGCTCCTGCGGGACGCCAGCCACAGCAAACCCCACCTGTACCTCCCTTCGGCTGGAAGAGGAGCCGTCGTCCAGAGTGGCAGACTTGATAACGCCCTGGACCACCCAGAGCTGCGGTAAGGGCGAGACTGCAGACAGGCTCTGGGCTGGCTGGTCGGGTGGCCAGGGGCGTCCGCTGGGGACCCTCTCCACTGCCTAGCACGAGCTTGGCCCTTCAGGGTAGAGATCCTTTTCTATGTGGACAGCATCCACACATCGTATTAAAGTGTTTTGGAGGCTTTTGGCCCCTGCTGCCCGCCCTGCTTCTGTGCACCTGTTCTGACTCGGCTCCTCACTTGTTTCTTGAACAGCCATGGTTCTGAGTGCAGCTCAGGTTACCATCCTCGCATCCATCAGCCTTTTCTTTGACTACTTAAGTTTTCTCATTTCTGGGGTACAGCCAAAGAAATGCTCAGGGCTGAAGAGCTGCTACCCGGAGGGGGCATGGGGCACCCCCACTTGCTGCCCACAGAAACCACTGAGGCCCTGGGGATCCCACTCCATGTTTAGTCTATGTGCTGGCAGTGGTTTGTGGTCTGCAGGTGGGAACCCTCCTGTCCAGCATGGGCTCAGGAGGGCAGCAAGGGACCAGGCAGCAGTACAGTGGTGGGGACCCAAGTGCAGGTTCTGAGAAGGCCTGGGACCCCATATGCTATTTCACTGCTGTCTATTGATTTTCTTTGAAAGAACAAGTTTTGAATACAGTAGTAAAACATGATTCAAGGCTAGCCTGGCCTACACATCAAGATCCTGTCTCAAAAACAAAAACAAAAAAACAAACAAACAAAACCATGATGATATCTGGCAGACGAGCACAGTAGGAGTGAATATTGACCCTAGCCCTGCCCCAGACAGAATAGCCCTAGAAACACTTCACCATCCTTACAGAGTAGGCAGTGAGGCCTGTATAGTGTGGGGGCCTGAGAAGGGCTTGGAGAAGTTAGCAGAGCCCCAAGCTTCCTCTTCAGGGTTTTGGCGGGGGGGTGGGGCAGTGATCCTCAGACCTGGGCTCAGAGTCCTGGATATACCTGGTAGTTGTGGACTGGCAGAAGGGTGTGTGTGTGTGTGTGTGTGTGTGTGTGTAGAAGTGGGCCTATCCGGCGCACACCTCATGTGTGTGTGGGGGTATGGATTGGTGTGCAGGTGAGGGCCTCTTGCCTCTGACTTCTGGAGACCCTCCAGCCTAGAGTGGGGCAGCTGGGGGGGCTTCTGGCCAGTGCTGCTGACCCACCCAGGCTGCAGGGGTGAAAAAAGCCTTAGCAGACTGTGGGTTTATTAGTCTTCCTACAAACAGTGCACATCACTGCATGTCTGACACTGACTAGAGTCCATGCCCCTATCCTGGCGGTGCCTATGTTTTGGGGGGTGCAAGCAGGAAAATGAGCAGGTGGGAATCTACAGGGCATGGGCTCCTGAGCCAGGAGGGACAGAAAGAGTACTCCTGGAGGATGCACCGCCAGGGAAGGCCCCAGCAGGTTTCCAGCCTGTCTTGGTCTGTTTGGCTGCTGTAACAAAACCTGAGACTGGTTAATTTATACAGAACAAACACTTACTGGCTCACAGGTCTGGAGGCTGGAGTTCAAGAGCAAGGGGACTGCCAAGACATATGGCAGAAGGAGGAAGAAAAGGGGAGGGAGCTGAACCCTTTACTCTTTGAGACCTCTCCTGTGATATTGTTCCACACATGGTGGCAAGCCCTCATGGCCTGATCACCTCTCTCTGAGAGGTACATGCCCTGCTCTCCTGAAAATGTGTGCCCAGAGACGGGCAGTGAGTTGCCCCGGTGCCCAGGCCTCTGTCTGCCCCTCACTGGGTTTGCATGCTCTCTCCCTAAGACTGGCTGAGCGGGGCACTGGCTGCTCTGTGAGGGTCAAGGGCCATTCCTTACTGCAGCAGGGTGGCCACCTCTTGGCCAGATCTTCTAATGCTGTAGGGTCAATCAGGCCCTGGCCCTCTCCTCACAAGGGGACAGCCCTCAGTTTTACCTCAATCTCAATCACCATCTTTTGGGCCAAAGGTGCCGGCAGCCCATGGGGACAGCAACAGGAGTCCCCTGGCTCCAGCTTTCATTCGTGGGGGCAGCACTACTGAGTGGAACTAGACTTCAACACCTAGACCACCCTGCTCACGGACTGTGGCTGTCAGGCCACTGAGCTGAGGCTAGTGTGACTCCAGGGAATTCTGTCCCCCAAGTTTAACGGTAAACAGCAGGGTGACTGCACTGCCTTGCTGGACACGGAGCTCAGTACTCAGGTGTAGCAGGTCCCCCTCCCAGAGGCAAGGCATCCAGGGGAAGCTGTGATCCGGGACCCCATTCTGTAACTGAGCACACACCTAGCCACCATCAGTCTTAGCAGCAACAGCAGTGGCCATGACCACTGTGGCTTCAGCTTGGGGTGGCAGGAGGTGCTGAAATCTTAGGGCCCCTCACTGGTTGTCTAATGAGAGGAGCTGGGGATAGAGGCCAGGGTCTTCCTCTGCTGGTTGGAATGACTCCAGCAGTCTCTGGAGGCTATCTCAGCTCAGAGCTCAAGGACATGCAACTTGTGGTTCCCTGGTGACCTATTGGTGCTGACGGGGCCAGAGAGGACCCTCATGCTGGGAGGTCTTCAGGGCCTCAGGCCTCTAGAACTCTGGAAAGTGAGTGGGGACGTGGTCACCTTCTCTGGCTTCAGCATCCCTTGAAAGCCATAAACAAAAGTCGTGGAAGATTTTCTTCACTAAGGAATTGTAGCTCAGAAAGGTTACAGAAAAGTTTCATAGCAACTTCCTGTTGTGGCAGTTAGACGGGGCCCCGAGGAGCCCTCTATGCTGAGTGTGTCCTGTGCTCAGCGCCCCACCTACCCCATCTCTCTGCCACTGCAGAAATGCCCTGGAGCCAGCGTGGCTGCTGCTCACAGCTCTTCAGCTGAACCTCTGAGCTGCACTGCCCAGGAAGGAATGTGGGCTGCTTGGGAAGACAGTGTTCTCTGGGCAGGCAGAGCAGGGATTTTGGCCTTGGGCCCTCTCTGCATTCTGGCCATCAGTGAATAAGGATACCTAGGGGCCGTCAGGAGGGTCCTGTCAAACAGACCAAAGGTCGGAGCCCAGGACTGAGCTGACCATCTTCCAGATCCTCCTCTGCTAGGCCTCAGCAGGACCTAGGCTGAGGGCAAGTGAGGAAAGAGACACTGAGAGCCCCTCCTGCCCTGGACCTTCTCCCGGTGGAAACCTCCATAGGACAGAGAGTGCCAACAGCACACTATCAGAACCAGGCCCCTGGAGTATCACCAGAAAGAAAGAGAAGTCCTCCACTGCCCTTGGGGACTTCATAACCGGAGGGGGAGACCCTTACACTGGAACAATCCCAGAAAAACCGAGGAGGACCCCAGACAGGTCCCTCTGTGTTTAAAATGCACTCCCACCTGGGCTGATGTCATTGGTAATAACTTGCTGCTACCCGCAGGCATTTGCTAACTATCTTATGGAAGAAGGAAACTGTCTCGAGGCTCTGGTTGGTCAATGATTTGTTCCAGTTCGTGGGGCAAGTGCAGCACAAACCTGAGACTGGGGACCTAGGTCTGTCTGGTGGCTCCTGTCATGTCCGCAAACATGTCTTTGCTCCTGGAAGCAATTATGGCAGGGGCAGGCAGCATGAGCCTTGATATGCGGGGGGAGGGGGGTGATAGTGGTGGCGGCAGCTGTGGGGAAGGGGCTCTTTTTCATGTGGCCAATTCAGCCCAGCCCCAGGAGTGGGGCACCTGCCCTCCTGGCCTCTGTGCCTCGGTTTCCTTGCAGGTCGAGAGGCTGCATTAACCTGCCATGAAGCACTAAAACTGCAGCAAGGAGAGCGAGGCCCAAGTGTGCTCCCTGGCTGCTCAGCTGCCCCTCCTCCGTGGTCTGCAGGTCAGCAGGAGCCTGCAGGGCCCCGTTCTGGAGACCTGCAGAGCAAGCACCTCGCCAACTTCCAGCTGAAGTCATTGAGCTTTCTCAAGTCCCTGAAGGTATGTTTTACCCTTGGGACACCAGGCTGATAGCAACCACGTCCCTTTTAGGCCTCTTCTATTTGGCGATGAGCTGGAAGCAGCTTTTGTCCCTGAGGCTGAGCAAAAGTCTCCAGAGCACAGAACTGTCCCCTGCCCTGTGTGAATGACTGGGACACATGGAGGTGGGGAGCAAGCAGGCTGACCCACCAAGCCTTCTGCACCTGGCCAGGGAAGCCCAGACAGGGAAAGCAGTGGGGTTGCCCGGAGGGATGAGCGCTGCCCAGGCACGGGGTCTCTGGGTGACTGTTTGAGGAAGAGTCCTGTTCTGAGTGGGACAGGGGCTTATCTGCCAACCCCGAGGTGTGGGCTCTCTGCAGCTGGACCAGCAGAAGCAGGAGCAGGCCCTAGCCCTTCTGCGGCAGCGGGCAGAACAGGAGGTCTGGGAGACACAGCTGGCCCTGGACAGGCTGCTCTTCAAACCCAAGCTGGAGGTCAGTGGGCAGTTGCTCCACTCTCATGTCCCCTGCCCCACCAAGCCTGATGATCTTCTAAAGTGGATGCCACTCCCCAATGCAGAGGGAGTGGCAGGGCTGGGCCGTGAGACAGCACAGACACCATCTGTGTGAGCTGTAGGCCCTGCAGCACCTGCAGAGGCTGCATGATGGGCTTGCTCAGGATCCCACCTTAAAGCAAAACCTCAGGATGGAGACAGGACATGGGGTGCCCATGGCTAGGACCAGAGCTATGTTACAGGTGGCCATCTCAGCCTCCCACCTCTCCCTTACCAGGCTTGTTAGCACCTGAGCGGTGAGTTCTCTGTCAGAGCCCAGAGCTCATGACCCAAGATGTGTGCAATCCACAAACCCCCAGTGATCTCTCACAAGAGGCCTCATCCCAGCCATGCTGTGCCAGCACTGCGGAATCCCATCAGATTGGCAGCTCTGGCTGCTCAGGGGAGCCCAGCATCTTCCCCACGAAGGGAAGGTGATAACCCCAGCCAGTGGAGTATTAAGTCCGCTGGCAACCGTGAGCTGGCTGGATGTGAGAACCTGGGAAGTGGTCCTTGATTCGCTGTGTTCGTGGCCCAGGGATGGTGGAATGCACATTCAAGTACATTTTGGGAGGCATTCCCAGGAGAGTGATAGAACCCAGAGGGACAGTGCACATGCATGTGAGCAAACGTCCTGTGTGTGAG